GTGAGTGTTCGTTGCACCAAGAATGTTTCAGCTCAAACTTTGCTATACTTGCCTGTAGCTCGTAGCTTCTTAGCGGCTTGTAGGACGGCCAGAGCCTTAGAGGTCTGTTAGTGCAGTTTCAGAGGGGCGGTCAGCTCTCAGCCGAACAGAATTGGAACAGAATTGTACCCTGTTTTGACCCGCCGCCAAGCCATCAGCCCGGCTGGGCTGCCGGAACTCTGCCCAATTTTTTTCATATTGTTTTGAAAGTCTGGATTGAGCACTTGTCATTGGAGTTCGAACACTTTGCACTGTTGCATGGCATGTCAAAAATTTGCTGCACATGTGTGTGTTCTGCAGGATTGCCAGCACAAATTCTTGGTGACAGTGCGGCTAGAGCCTCGGAAGTTTGTTCTACTAGCTCGTGCAGATGCAAGGACGCGGCTAAAAGTGCAAGCACATATCTGTCCTTTTGTCGCTGCTCTTTGCTGAGCAGAGAGTTGTGCACCCTCCGTAAAGCCATCAGCCCGGCTGGGCTGCCGGAACTCTGCCCAATTTTTTGCCATGTTTTTCTCAAAGTCTGGATTCAGCACTTGTCGTGGAGTTCGAACACTTTGCACTGCTGCATTGCGTGTCCAAAACTTTGCACATGTGTGCATTCTGCAGGAAGTTCCGCTCAAGTTCTCGGCAGCATGGCCAGGGCTTCAGAAAACGGTTAGGTAGTGCAGTTGCAAGAAAGCGGTGGTTGTGCATCTTTCCTAGACCCACCACAAAACCAGCAGCCCGGCTGGGCTGCCGGAAGTCTGCCCAATTTGCTGGCCAATTTGGGTCGACTTGAGGTTGCGCACTTGTCGTTTGAGTTCGGGCAGTTGGCACAAAACAATTCAGCGGCGCAGTTTGGACCCACCAGACAGCTTTAAGACAGCCCATTGATGTGAGGTTCTGCATTTCTTACCCCCTATGTGGTCCTACTATAGTACTATAGCCCTTCACAAGCGTTTGGGGGGAGAGAGAGAGAGGTAGGTAGATAGATAGATAGATAGATAGATAGGTAGGTAGGTAGGTAGATAGACAGACAGACAGATAGATAGATAGATAGAGAGAGAGAGAGATATATATTTGAAATTTGTTTGCTGTATTTGTACTCCGTTTCGGACTGATACAGGATACAGGCCCTCATTGCATATATAGATATATATATATATATATTCTTTAGAAAAAATAGAAAGACATGTTAGACATTGTAATCCAGAGATATTGGAAACTGCCGACGCTTTGGCATTTGGAAGCGCCAACTAGGAATACAATAGCGACTGCTTTCTCGGGCGCAGTGGGTTCTACTTTAGACTCCCCAGGTTTGAAGGATATCAGGCACGTGGGTTGGGTGTTTGTGGTTTCACATGTGATGTCGTTTGTACATTGAATTGTCGCAGTTGGGTCAAAGTTTTGTTGCAAATTGTTGTCTCTTCAAGTGTGGAAGCCTTGCTACGTTTAGAGTTGAGACATTGGGCACTTGCAGCTTCATACGCTGAGTAGAAGAGACGATATGATGATCTTACAGGTCACCTGAAGACAATGCCCTGCATCCATCCTTCTTGCCAGGCCGAGTGCTGGCGACACTTCAAGAGTTGCAGCAGAACCCAAGAGTGAAGGCTCGGCGTCCAACCCCTCCACCCCCGTAGACTCTTAACGCCTGGTGTGTCTGTGTGTGTGTTTTCTCCTGCTTGAACTGGCCGTGGAGTAATTCTATTCCACCATAAATAACAGTGTATTCTTAAAACGGGCCGAAATTACTCCACGCATTTTGTATTGGCACTGCCATATATTTCTGCATTTTTTACTCCGCCGATGGTCTACTCCATATTTACTCCACATCTTCTCTATTGGCTAAAGCATGCAGGTGCTTCTTGGAATTACTCCGCCGACCTTCTCAGTTTGTTGGTTCAGACATGGCTGCTGGTCTTGTCCAGTTGGCCAAGCGGGCCTTTGTGTCCTTGCTGCTTGCGCTTGCCCAGCAGTATAGAGTCCGTGTGACTCTCACTCGGGACAGTGCAGACCATGCGGTAGAAGCTGCCTTCAGGTCAGTGGTGAAAAAAGTTCACCCTGACAAAGGCGGCGCAGTTGGTGATGCCCAACGGTTACAGCAAGCGAGGGAAGAATGGAAGGCTGCCAAGGCCAAGGGCCCACGTCCTGGCAGAAGGCCTGTGAAAGCTGCTGTCTTGACAGCAGGGGAAGGGGAGGCGCAGTCCCGCAAATCTTTCAGGATTCGATCCAGTGCTGTGCTGCTGACGTACCATGGTATCGCACTTGGAGCTTGGAAAGCCTTTCTTGCCTTTGTGCGCTCTCATCTGACAAAGTGGGGGGTTGGAAAATGGTGCGCTTCCATGGAGAGATGCACTTCTGGTGAGCCTCACGTGCACCTCATGGTGCAGTTTCACAGTGCTTCCGATACCCGCGTGGTGGACTCCTTCTCCTTCCGCCGTTCGAGGCCAAATGCCAGCTCCACTGATGTATGTGGTGAAGGTCTTTCTCGCCAACACCTGCAACGGTCAATCGACCGTGGCATGTTCTATGTCTTTGCCGACAAAATAGGCACTGTCTTTGGAAGTGATGGCTTGCCTTTCACAGATGGCATTTACTTGCCGTGCTGGGTTCAATGCGAGAAGACTTACCAAGTGCTCGGAAAATGGCCCGAGACTTTGTGGAAGCAACGAAAAGTCGCTTCAGCCACATACGAGAGATTGCTTTTTCTTTGCAGAGATGGTGTGGTGTCCAGGAAACGGAACTTGGATGCATGCCGGGAGCATGAAGAGGGCGCTGCTTTGAAAGCAGCTGTGCGGGAGCGAGCTGCACGGATCCGTTCCAATCCCACCTTGTATGAGCCATTTCCAAAAATTCAAGAAGCCGAGGAGTGGCTGAAGCTTTTCAAAGTGGATGCACTGCGTTACCCCATTTTGGTCGTCCTAGGACCTTCCCGTTCTGGAAAAACGGAGTGGGCCAAAAGCTTGTTCCAGTACCCCTTGGAATTGAAGATAGGCACTCTAGAATTCTTTCCCGAAACCATGCGCCAATTTCAGCGTGGTGTCCATGATGGCTTGGTGCTGGATGATGTTCGCGACCTGCACTTTCTAGTGAACCACCAAGAGAAATTGCAAGGGAAATACGATTGTTTAGTTGAATTTGGCTCCACTGCTGGTGGCACATGTGCATACCATCGTGATCTCTTTGGTGTGCCAGTTGTTGCCACTGTGAACTTCTCAACGAAGCATTTGGAGTATTTAGATGAACATGATTGGCTGGCAAACCCTGGAAACAGAGTTCTGGTCACAATGCCAAGTCGCAATTCGTAATTCGATACTGTTTTCTGCCAAAGGAATTTAATTAAATGCTCCGCAGCCCTGGTTGGAAAAGCTGATGCCACCGGGGCCGTGACTTAAGGTGTTAAGGCTTAAGGGTGGTGTAGAATTGCAGGGTACGGCACAGTCGGTTTCGTAGAACACGGCTGGATGTGTGATTTCTCAACATGTAGATTTTGAGACCGCATAGTGAGGGAGAGATGTGTATTGATGTCCCATGTTTCAAACCCCTGGTTTCTGTTGTCTGTGTTTTGAAGCCCATGTAGACAGGTAACGATTGGGTACCGATTGATCCCATGCTAGAGCTATACCTGTATCAGAATGGATGCACTGGAGCTGTACCCTGTTTCGAGTTGCCGAGCATACTTCGGTTTCACAACTTGGCATGGCTTGCCAGCCTGGTTTTGCAGGCGCCGCATGCGATGGTTGGATCTGACGAAGGTCAGAGGCTCACGTGGAGGGTTGCCTGTGTAGACGGTGTGATCTTCGGTTTCTCGAAATGTCGATATTGGGACAATAAACAGTCATGTGGACATATTGTCATATTGCAAGGAGAGATGTATAGTATTGAGCCCCCGTGTTTTAAGAAATGATTTGTGTTGTCACTGTTTTCAAGGAGACTGGTACCAATTGATGTTGCGTCACAGCTAGATAGTAGACTACCTGGACTCGTATCACTGTTTGCGCTGCAGAGCATTGCTTCGTTTCATGACATGATACGGCTTGTTGACCTGGTTTGGCAGGCGCCGCACTATGATGGTTGGATCTGATGGTTTGGCTTCTGTTGGCCCATCTCTACCCGCAGGACGTTCCAGGCGAGGTGTGTCACATGTGGGATGGAAATATATAGTGCTTCGACGTTTCCCGTCCATGAACATGAAGTTTCTGTACTATTGTGCGGGATATATTGATTGATGGAGTGGTTCTATATGTGTGTCCAGGTTTCCTTCCGCACAGTTTGACTTTTGTGCTACACGCTACCCTACCAGATTTCAATATTGTAGTTTGTTTCTGACGACCGGTGACCAGTGAGGCTTGGAAGCTTCCATTGCTGCATTGGCACCTTCCGCGGGAGCCATCGAAAAGGGTGCGATGTGTGCAGATTGTTTGAGATGTGTGAGGTACATAAGTTCTTGTGGCCGTGTGCTGTTTTCATGTGTCATGCCAGCTGAAGTTGTTTTTTTTGTGAACTTTGTGTTCTCGGTGCCGCCACATCTGAAGTTTCAAGTCGTGCAGCCCTCTAGTCTAGCGCTTGTAGTCTCACTAGTGTTCTTGGAGGCAAGCCGCTTCACCACCACAGACTGTGACTGGGGGATGTTGCCCACTTGCTTCATTGCATGCCATGTCGTGCCTGTCGTGCAGGTGTTCATGGCTCCAAAGCGTCAGCAACCGGAGGTCACCTGCTGTTGGTGTTTGTGAGCCTGGTCGTGGAGAACCGTTTCAATGCAATGGAGAGTGTTTACAAAGGTTTTTTACTGCAAGATAGTCCACAGGATGTTTTGGACACTTAAACTCTGCAGCTGCACGGTGATTTCTCACCAGTTGCATTTAGAGGTTTATACAGCATACAGCTTTCTACAGTCTTCTTTGTTCATGTTTTCACAGCAACGCATCATTGCCACTTTTTGGAATCATGTTGGCGTGAAAGGGTGCCAAGTTTAGCCGATGTTGCACCAATCATGGGTCTACGGGGTGCCTTGGTAGGCTGCCAAAGTCTATATCCAGAACCATGTTTTGGATGTTTAGCGGACGAGATTCGCGCTTTTATGTTTTGCGGTTTTGCATTGCTTCGGTGTTTTTTCACATTCATGGATCGAATCTTGGTTTCTCGTTCCTTCCGGTACCTTGCGCATTAAAGTGCGCCCTGCTGGTTTTTTCTGCGTGCCCCGTGCCTCCAACTAAGATTTGTTGTCTAAACTCCTTGGTATTTGCACAAGAGTTGGAAGAGAGCTCATCGTGTTTGTTTTTGTTCCTCAGGTTTTGAGCCAAGAGCTTGCAGACCTGAAGCGGCGCCGCGCGGAAGCCCGTGCGGAGAACCGAGCTTTGGCCAAACAAGAGAAGACTTTGAAGAAGCGCCGTGCCAGGGTGCTGCAGGTACTTGTGACTTGTGCATTGGATTGACGCAGCTTGGGACTTGGCCTTGTGTTGTGTTTGTCTGCCAGGCAGCGCGGGAGTTGAGCCAAGAGGACCTTCTCCTGCTGCTACGCCCAGGTGTGTACATGACATGTTTGATGGGTTATAATAGAGCCACGCCAGCTCTGTGGACGGTAGGTGATGCTGCTGCAGCTCCGCCTGTGCCTGCGCCACCTGCGCTCCCAGAAGGTGGGTGCTTCATGGCTCTTTGGGCCGTCCTGTCAGCGGCCTTTCCGCAACAGGTGGTGGCGATGCTGGTGGAGAAGGTGCTGGTCACGTTGTTGGTGGCGAGGATGCCGCTGCAGGTCCGCTGCCTTCCAATGCACATGATGCTGCTCAGCTGGGTGGTTTGTGTCAGGTGCTGCAGTGGAAGCCATGGACGCGGGAGCGGCTGGAGTTGCCGAAGGAGGCGGGGTGGTGAAACATGTTCAAAGGTTTGGCTGTTTGATGTTCAGCTTTGTTGCATTGTTGCCCGACGTCCCAGGAGAGAACGAGGAAGTGCCAGCCGAGGAGGTGAATATTCCGGAGTAGGTCAGCAGTGAGAAGGTGCAGCTGTAGGCATTGCAGGCTACAGAGTAAGAACTGAGGAATGGAAGTGTGGCCATGCCACGGGGCTGTTCCGTAGCAGATCCTTGGCGGCAGTCTCCATTGCACAGTTCAGCGAGCCTGCAGCAGAAACGTGGACCGCGAGCTCAGATTCCGAAAGTGTGTTTGGGCGTTTGGCAGAGGCATTTGGGGGGGGCATTTTTGGAGCCATGATTGTGTTTCAAAACTGAGCCTCTTCCAGGGGGGCCTCCGCAGTATTCTTTTTTGGTTTGCTGCAATTTCCATAACCCTGAAGCCTTGAGGCTTGCCTTGAGGCCGTCCCTTTGCACCAGCTGCGGCTCAAAATTCTAGCGAGGCAGCACAGGCACCAACTACTTCAAGTTCAGCCTTACTGGGACTTCAACAATAGTATTATATAGTTTCGACTCCCCTTCGCCCAGGCCTCGGCGAGCCTCGAAGCGCCTCGATTGCAGGCTTGCATCAACATAATAGAAAGGGAAAGATTGTCATGATCAAGACAAGAAGGTACAAGAGGCTAGTTTTTGGGTTCGTTTTTTGCACCCGAAACTGATATGATTTTTTGGAGGCGGAGTTGGGGCCTCCCTTGTTCGAAGCCCTTATTGCCAACTCGATGTTGGTTTGTGTGACGTTGATGTGTTTCTACATTGGAACAGCGCAGCTGAAGAAGGTGCATGGGTGGGCTTAAAACCGGACCTTCAAGGAGGCACCGGATTCAACCTGCTGAGGGTCCATTTTTGGACCCCCGTGCAAAGGAAACGTGTTTCAAAAAGGGGTCAGAAAGTGGCCCGCTTGAAATCAAAAGTGGTCCCCCCTGGAGGGTCCAGTTTTGGTCCCTTTTTGGCCCCTGCAATGTGGCAAATCTGTTGAGGCGTTTATTTCAAGTCGAAGCTGATTTGACCAGCAACAGCTGCGGCTGGAATCTTGAACTGGGGAGGCCCATTTTTGCGCGCCTGCTTTTTCTTACGTTTTGAGGTCCAAAAAAGGGCCCCTTCTTTGTCATATTGTTTTGCTCCAATTTCCATAGCCTTGAGGCCCTCGAGACCTGCCTCGAAGCCTGCCCTGACGTGTTTTGTTCTAATTTCCATGGTCTCGCGACACTGGAGTTCAAGACTTGCATTGAGGCCCGCCTCCAACTTTGTTTCATCCTATATATTTTTTGGTTTGCTGCAATCCTATATTTTTTTTTGGGGTTTGCTGCAATTTCCATAACCTTGAAGCCTCGAGGCTTGCCTTGAGGCCGTCCCTTTGCGCCAGCTGCGGCTTAAAATTCTAGCGAGGCAGCACAGGCACCAACTACTTCAAGTCCAGCCTTACTGGGACTTCAACAATAGTATTATATAGTTTCGACTCCCCTTCGCCCAGGCCTCGGCGAGCCTCGAAGCGCCTCGATTGCAGGCTTGCATCAACATAATAGAAAGGGAAAGATTGTCATGATCAAGACAAGAAGGTACAAGAGGCTAGTTTTTGGGTTCGTTTTTTGCACCCGAAACTGATATGATTTTTGGAGGCGGAGTTGGGGCCTCCCTTGTTCGAGGCCCTTATTGCCAACTCGATGTTGGTTTGTGTGACGTTGATGTGTTTCTACATTGGAACAGCGCAGCTGAAGAAGGTGCATGGGTGGGCTTAAAACCGGACCTTCAAGGAGGCACCGGATTCAACCTGCTGAGGGTCCATTTTTGGACCCCCGTGCAAAGGAAACGTGTTTCAAAAAGGGGTCAGAAAGTGGCCCGCTTGAAATCAAAAGTGGTCCCCCCTGGAGGGTCCAGTTTTGGTCCCTTTTTGGCCCCTTCAATGTGGCAAATCTGTTGAGGCGTTTATTTCAAGTCGAAGCTGATTTGACCAGCAACAGCTGCGGCTGGAATCTTGAACTGGGGAGGCCCATTTTTGCGCGCCTGCTTTTTCTTACGTTTTGAGGTCCAAAAAAGGGCCCCTTCTTTGTCATATTGTTTTGCTCCAATTTCCATAGCCTTGAGGCCCTCAAGGCCTGCCGCGAAGCCTGCCCTGACGTGTTTTGTTCTAATTTCCATGGTCTTGCGACACTGGAGTTCAAGACTTGCATTGAGGCCTGCCTCCAACTTTGTTTCATCCTATATTCTTTTTTGGTTTGCTGCAATTTCCATAACCTTGAAGCCTTGAGGCTTGCCTTGAGGCCGTCCCTTTGCGCCAGCTGCGGCTTAAAATTCTAGCGAGGCAGCACAGGCACCAACTACTTCAAGTTCAGCCTTACTGGGACTTCAACAATAGTATTATATAGTTTCGACTCCCCTTCGCCCAGGCCTCGGCGAGCCTCGAAGCGCCTCGATTGCAGGCTTGCATCAACATAATAGAAAGGGAAAGATTGTCATGATCAAGACAAGAAGGTACAAGAGGCTAGTTTTTGGGTTCGTTTTTTGCACCCGAAACTGATATGATTTTTGGAGGCGGAGTTGGGGCCTCCCTTGTTCGAGGCCCTTATTGCCAACTCGATGTTGGTTTGTGTGACGTTGATGTGTTTCTACATTGGAACAGCGCAGCTGAAGAAGGTGCATGGGTGGGCTTAAAACCGGACCTTCAAGGAGGCACCGGATTCAACCTGCTGAGGGTCCATTTTTGGACCCCCGTGCAAAGGAAACGTGTTTCAAAAAGGGGTCAGAAAGTGGCCCGCTTGAAATCAAAAGTGGTCCCCCCGGAGGGTCCAGTTTTGGTCCCTTTTTGGCCCCTTCAATGTGGCAAATCTGTTGAGGCGTTTATTTCAAGTCGAAGCTGATTTGACCAGCAACAGCTGCGGCTGGAATCTTGAACTGTTCGAGGCCCTTATTGCCAACTCGATGTTGGTTTGTGTGACGTTGATGTGTTTCTACATTGGAACAGCGCAGCTGAAGAAGGTGCATGGGTGGGCTTAAAACCGGACCTTCAAGGAGGCACCGGATTCAACCTGCTGAGGGTCCATTTTTGGACCCCCGTGCAAAGGAAACGTGTTTCAAAAAGGGGTCAGAAAGTGGCCCGCTTGAAATCAAAAGTGGTCCCCCCTGGAGGGTCCAGTTTTGGTCCCTTTTTGGCCCCTGCAATGTGGCAAATCTGTTGAGGCGTTTATTTCAAGTCGAAGCTGATTTGACCAGCAACAGCTGCGGCTGGAATCTTGAACTGGGGAGGCCCATTTTTGCGCGCCTGCTTTTTCTTACGTTTTGAGGTCCAAAAAAGGGCCCCTTCTTTGTCATATTGTTTTGCTCCAATTTCCATAGCCTTGAGGCCCTCAAGGCCTGCCGCGAAGCCTGCCCTGACGTGTTTTGTTCTAATTTCCATGGTCTTGCGACACTGGAGTTCAAGACTTGCATTGAGGCCTGCCTCCAACTTTGTTTCATCCTATATTCTTTTTTGGTTTGCTGCAGTTTCCATAACCTTGAAACCTTGAGGCTTGCCTTGAGGCCGTCCCTTTGCGCCAGCTGCGGCTTAAAATTCTAGCGAGGCAGCACAGGCACCAACTACTTCAAGTTCAGCCTTACTGGGACTTCAACAATAGTATTATATAGTTTCGACTCCCCTTCGCCCAGGCCTCGGCGAGCCTCGAAGCGCCTCGATTGCAGGCTTGCATCAACATAATAGAAAGGGAAAGATTGTCATGATCAAGACAAGAAGGTACAAGAGGCTAGTTTTTGGGTTCGTTTTTTGCACCCGAAACTGATATGATTTTTGGAGGCGGAGTTGGGGCCTCCCTTGTATGAATCTAACTGAGATGGTTTTGGATCATCCGTTTCGATTCTTGTCATTGCTTCGTACATTTGAGATGTTTGTGAAGCCTATTGATTACCTCTTGCGAGTATGCGAGATACTCCGGCATTGTGAGGACAATGCCTACGTATCTTATTCGACCTCTGGGTATTTGATCTGGAAGTCTATTTTGTGACCTTTGTAGCTGTGACTTTTGGCTGACGTTTGGTTATTGCAGTAAGCGAACTACTTTAGCGCTATGACTGCTGATGACTGGATATTAGCTGAGAAGTCGAGCAGAGCATTTGAGTATGTGAGATACTTCGGCATTGCGAGGACAATGCCTACGTATAGTAGTCAACCTCCGGGTACTTGATCTGGAGAGCTACGTTATGATCTTTGTGTCTGTGACTTGTTGCTGACATTTGGTTATAGCAGTAAGCGAACTACTTTAGCGCTATGACTGCTTATGACTGGATATTAGCTGAGAAGTCGAGCAGAGTATTCTACTCTCCTCTGTAGTTTGGAACTATGAGAAGACATCTCTGTGTGAAGAGCTGTTTTGGAGAAGTCGAGCAGAACATTCTACTCTCCTCTGTAGTTTGAAGCTAGGAGAAGACATCTCTAAGTGAAGAACTGTTTTGGAGATGGAACATGAGGTTCCCATGTTGTTCTGTATTGCAAGAGGATTTTGTAAAGGAATTTGAGTGAATCATTTCGTTCTTGACTAGCCGTGTGACTAGTCTAGACGTTTGGTAGAGACTAGTAACACCGGCTAGCTGGTTACTTGCGTTTGGACGAGAACCAGTTTGACTTGAGAACTTTTGGAAATGTTTCTGACGTTTTGTGACTAGGTGATTTGTATATCATAGCAGTTCGGAATTGTTTCAACAACCTTTGAGGGAAGGTTGTGTATTGGAAACCTGGAATCGAGTTTTCCAGTTGAGACATCGGCTCAAGGGAGTGGTGTCAATTGTTCCGAAGCGAACTGAACTGCAGTGTCACCTAGGGCATTGGGAACAGTAGCCACACTTGGAACTTGTTGTGTTGCTTCCCTTGTGGTTTGTGGCCGTGTGCCTGCCTTGGATCTTGTTGACCTGTTCCGTTGTGTGTGGCGTCTGGAGAGAAAAGAAGGAGTCTGACGTGCACTTGGGAGTCGGGGTGGAACAAGTTCCTTTATTTGACTTTGTGGGGAAGTAAGTAACTGCGGAGCTGCAAACACAGTAGGTGTTTGCGTCTGGCGTAGTAAGATAACGAAAGCGTTGATTTGAGTACAC